CTTAAAAGTAATAACTCTTTTTGGGCCTCATCAAATTGGTTACCCTTTTGGGGCCTCACTAAGACAATAAGATAATTTTCATTTCATCCATATTCCTTAACAATCAAAACATCTCTTCAACCCTCAGAATAAAGAGGACTGAATTGATCCACGATATTCTTCGAGTTTGAAACCCTCCAACACTCAAACTTGTGAGGTTTTCACAACAAAACAGTATATTTACAGTGTCCAAATTTTGTCACATTTATGTTAAGTATATATATATATGTATAACGTATATATGTTGATATACTGGGATACAGATGATGGTGATTAACAATGAAATCCTGTTTATTGTCACAAAATTTATGACATCGAATACTTCTAAGACAAACATCATGCTCTAGAAATTATGACTGGTAGTTTTTTCAAAACTTGAAATATATATATATATATTTGTATTCTTATTTTCTTTACAATATAATGACGTATAGTAATTAGTTATAAACATAATTATCATTCCATGAACATCATTATTATTTTTAATGTATTATATCTGTATAATACAATATGCTGCCCTAACAGTCACACATCAGAACATTAAGAAAAAAAATAATAATAATAACGCCATTTATACAAACTCCTGCACTTGGATACCAGTGTAAAGTTTAATTACATCGTTCTCCAATACTTCGCATATTCAGGTAATTTAAAATACCTTATAAACAAACAAACAAACAATGAATACAATAATAATGCAGAATCAACCAATCGGGTGATCAAACCAGAAAAATGAGCAAATAAAGGTCATTCCTAAAAAAAAAAACTTTTATTTACCGTGTACCTATATATGACAAGACATGTTGTTCTATGCCTTTCAAACTTTCAAAACACCATTAAGATAGTGAAAACAAAAACATTATCAGAAATACGGTGAAGAAATCTAAACATTCTTTTTGATAAAGGGATTTGGTACACAGTAACTTTTTTTTTCTTTTTGTAAGGATGACTCAACATCTTTATTTGATATCTATTGTAAGTATTTAAACAAAAATACAAACAAAGAATATACAAATATTATTAGGTAAATTGAAAAGCCTGACTGAAGAAAAATGTTTTTCAAGGATAACAAATAGATAATTGTGTTGAGATATAAGAAGAAAACCCCTTGTCCAAATCTGAAATTTATATGCTGTATCGGTGTTTAACATTTCAGCATACATAACATGCAGTGATTATCATAAATGTACAGTGTTAATTCTGCCATCTATGTCTAGAACTATCCAGATGATCTTTTGAGAACAATAACACTATCTCTTTAACAAGATATCTGAACAATTCTTCACTAATGTTTCTGTTTTAACTGTAAATAAAGATAGCTGAAAAACACAACTCAAATATTTTAATTCATTTTTTTTTCTATTTCCTGTAAATTTCTAGACTGCAAGAATCAAAAAATTTAAAAAAAAGTTTAAAATGAAGTGTATGTTGTTTATCCCAGTTATCTCCCTTTGTTTGATCTTCTTCACCTTTTCTTACTTCAGCAGAGTTGCCTATACAGTGAGCCCTACCTAATCTGACATTCCAGTATCGCACATAAAGTTAGACACTATGCATCTTCACAGTCATTACAAGCAATTTTAATCATTTGTGCATACATCTAGGAAAGAATAATTTGAAAATGCCTTGCCTGCATTTCAAGAATTTTTTTTATCCAAACTGCCCTGATAAGACCCCACAAATGTAGCTTAATCCAAAATACTGTACCGAAAACAATAATGTTTTGTTAGTCAATTGCTTGCATGACATTGAAAACTGTTGCAAATTGACCATGAATGCCAAGTTTAGATAAAGTACACTGCCTTTGACATCTTTATCATAAAAAAAATATTTTCTTCTTTGTAGTACTTAGAAAAAGTTAAATCATTCCTGACAAATGGGATTTCTTCAAGTTCATTCAACAGTCAAAAACAATATTTCTAACACTTTTAAATCAGAAACTTAAAAAATCAATTCCTCTCATTATATCAGGGGGAAATACGGGTATACATGTTAAGATATAAGCATGAAAATAATATCTAGGAACAATGTTATAATAATCACATGAAAAGTAACACATATAGGACACATTTCAACATGCACAATAACACCTGTGTCTTCCACTGAACTGGCTATCACAAACATAAATAGAGCACTTTATTTTCCCTCTCCATAGACATCAGTAATTTCTACAAGAAGAACAGATTTTATCATTTCTTTATCATAATTATTCAATTCATCAATTTCAACTTAATTTATATAATAAGAATCCAAAACTGTATTAAATAAATATTTTACAAATTGGTGAATTGTAAATAATTGAATATTATCCTTTTGTCACCAAATCTGTGTTAACCATTTCAAATATATAGATAACGATACACACACATCATTGAATTTTACAAAAAAATTTGGAAACGAATGATTTTGATAAAAAACAAAATAAACAAAGAAAAAAAAAAAAAAAAAGAATAAGTGAATATATATCATAATAGAATTGTGAATCTAACAGATTCCTGTGTAAATTTGTCATTTTTCTTTGACATAATACTTTCAGATTGAAATTTTGCGTGACTTATTTTCATGCTACATTTCATCAGACTGAGGCTCTCGGAAGAGCTTATTTGGAAATTATATTCTTTCATATATGGAACAAAGTATCATGAATATGAAAAATCTCTGCATGCAATTTAGTGATTTCTTAAATAACCTGCAATAGATGATGTTACTCTTATTAGGTGATCCTGTTTATCGATAAGCCTATTGAATGAGCTTATTACCATGGAATGACAACATCATATTTCAACATTTTTTTTTTCTATCCAGCAGAGAACATGACAAAGAAAACATCTGCATTATATGGAACTGATATCTGATGCATGAAATCTAACATGTTCTCACTTTCAGAAAAATTAAAACATCGGCTTGGACTTTCAGAGAAATTAAAACATTGGCTATAGAATCAATATTCCATTGTCCGTATCTTTACCTGTAGCAGGAAGGAATAAAGCTAGTTACACAGATTTCTCATTATGATCACTCTACCAAATACTGATATTGATATTTCACAATGAACGCATCATGTATATAAAAAACATTTAAATGCAAAATTACATTTTATTTCCAATTACATTACCCACCCCCTCCCAACCCCATTGTTAATTTTTGGAAGGATCAATAATTTTAACAACAATTAAAATATTTATCATTTTTCAAAATTTTCTAAAATCTAAACAGGTGGATAATACCAACAATTGTTAAACAAAATTTCAAAATAATGGTTATGCAACACGTTTTTTTTTTTTCATGTGATAATTTTCATGATCTAATCCCCAAAATACTCATGATTTCTGATGAAAAATTACGAAGATGGTATCCATCTTTACGTTTTAGAAATTATAGCCAGTGTAGAAATCTGTTAGTCAACATTTAATGTGTTAATATCAAAATACTATTTCCTGATCAAGAATGACTAGGATAATACAATTATATATGCACTTTTAAGCGTAGCACTAAATATCATTATATAACTTTGATCGAAGTTATAGTTCTTTTAATTCAAAATTTTGAAAACACTATCAAATATACACACCAGGTTTTGCTGTATTATATAACATCTAAAAGGAATAGGATTCTCTGTATGAAATATAGGGCAATAATGAAGGGACAAAAATGATAACTATTTTTGGACACTTAAATGGTTGGACACTATAATTATTTTATCACATAGACATGAGAAACAGGCACTTCAACGTTTCAGCATTATTCGATTATTAGTGTTTTTCCCCTGTACTAGACATGTAAATGACACATAGGCAAATGAGTGTCTATTTGAGGTGCAAACAAATATGATGGCAAATGTACAGTTTTCTCCCTTAGTATTTGCACTATATTTACTTGAGCACAAAATCATGGCAAACATACATTTCAAGTAGTATATATGCAACATTATATTTATCATCTTGACCACCTCAAACAGTGGCACTTGATTGTGACTTGTATCAGTATTTATGAACAATGAATGAATTTCTAAAAAAAAACAAAACAAACAAACAAAAACACATAAAAATGAATTGTCTCCCTTCGAATAATTCTCTTAACATGAAAATGAGTGTTTTAACTAATAAACATACAACGTACGAGGAAGCACTGTTCTGCTCTATCTAACTAGTGTCACGGACCTCTGTTATCTCTACATAGTATTCTGTTTAGCTTGAACCCAAGGAGGTATTAAAACACATCCATTTTATGACGCTCTATGGTGCCAGCAGTACAGAGTTATGTCCCCTATGTTTAAAGTTTTATGTTCTATTGGAACAAAAACATATGAGGACGATTTTAATACCCAGAAAAACGCTGTTCTGTATTGCGAATATTTTTTACATGATCTCTTGGAGAGAACATTTTATTCTCTTCCTACCACCAGATTCATCAAATGGTAATTGATCCTGTAGTCCTTCATAAAAAAATAACAAGTAGTTTTTATCTGTGTTTCTAGTACTGTTTCAATGGGGTGCCACCTTATCAACTACATTTCAAACTTCAATTAACACCAAAATTAATCACCGGAGACAATGACAAAAATTTATAAACAACTATAATTCTGTTCTTATTTTTTTCCCAGATCAAATCTGCACAGAATAATTGTCTTTGGCCTAGAAGACATGCGATATTCCACAAAACACTTTTTTGGGTGTTGTTCTTCCAAAATGACTCAGTTGGTGTAGTAATTTCTGGGTCGTCTCATGAACACAAAGACAAAGACTTCACATTGACCAATCACATCTTGATAAACCGATACGACCTTGATCAATATTTGGCAAAATGTACATCAATTTTCAACAAGTCCATGTAGTCCATTTTGCGGTTTTTCATCCTGAGATATATTTATATCAAGTAATAATGTAGTGAACTGGACAATGTCTTTTTTGTTTGTCTTTCGTGTTCTGTTGTTTATATGTTGTTTTGAAATGTTACTTTCATAAAACACTAAAATGACTTTACACGTATTACCGTATGGACGAAGGGTGTCTATTTGATATCGAGACAAAAGTTTCACGATAATATACATAGTTATCAAAGTGGGCCTGAACATCACCTTGACCTTGCCCTTGCCCTGCTGCAGCCCATCACCAAACTATGAAGCTTGACCCGATTCTGGCATGCCAGTCAAACCACAAATTGCAAGACAATGCATGCCCACTTGGCTTAAAAGGCAGAATATTGTGGCACATAGTTGAACTGTGAATATCGCCAAACTTTGTCAGTTTTCAAGTGGTGTCATGACGATGGATCAAACCATACAGACGTATATTCACCGGCAGTATACCCCAGGCTGGATACTGTCAAATATCACACGACCCTTTCTACTGGGTTTTTTTCCCCACATTACGCTACTTCATTCTTCACATTTAGGTCCAGGACCTCCTTCATCAAAGGCTGGATACCCTCGGGATTAACCTTGAGCAAAACATGTGAGTGCTCTTCGTTCAGGTTGCGAATGTCCGTCAGTTTCATCAGAAGTTTGGGATAGAGAGAACGCACAAGACTAGAGGGGTACCTAGACTCCATGTAACGTAAAAGAAGCAAGGCATATTTGTCTTGTTCCTGACAGATATAAGCTTTGTCCGTAACATTTGTGCGGTCTGGTGAGAAAAGGGAGATAACCAATAAGAGAATAAGCATGGTTTCATCTGCCTTCAAATCTATTGCTAACGATTTTGTAAATTTCATGTGCTCCTCGAATAAGCCACCTCCTTCTCCCATCTTGAGCTGATCAAGGGACATGGCATTGCTCTCATTATCAAAGGGATCCAGAAAATGTTGTTTTTCTTTATCAAATGTGATGACGGAGCGGATAATAAGCAATTCTATACTGCCTCCTTTTAGCAAGCTGATCTGATCCGTCTGAGAAAGAGATTTGAAAGATTTAATTTTCTTCGCCATATCAATAACCCTTCGCACACTCAACTCTGCTATATTGACCAAGTCCAAGAACGAAGCATTATCTCGTGGGATTTCCGAGTCGATGCTGACCTCCAAGGACTGGCGATAAGCGTTGACAACTTCGTTGATGAGGTAATCCTCGTCAGGTTCAAGAACGCGAACCTTCCCTGTGTAGCTATTAGATGTACTGACATCACTGATCTGATTTTTACGATCACATTCTCGTACTTTTCTGCAAAACAAAGAATATTTCTTTGACAGTACTGATTATTATAAGGTAATTATATCTAGATATTGTATTGACAACGTAAAACAAAAATATATGTATATCAAAAAAATCATAGGAAACAATCATGTCAAACACTTGAAAAGAATGTTGATTTGACAAGTCTTCATCCTAATCAAAATCAACATTCAAAATTTTCATTTCTATGCTTTCATTTCTCATAAATCTTACAAATTCATAGACGAGGACAATTATTTCAATATTGAATATATGATTTAAAACAAAACTATTTCATACTGTAATGTAAATCAATATCCAAACTTTAAACTTAACCCATGTATATGTTGTCAATGAATAAAAAGAAACAATGAGTTTTTCTTCACAAGTTATCTCCCCTTGCCCAACAAATTTCTGGATTTGAAGGTTTTTTTTTTAATCTCTTTTAACGAAAACATGTAAATATGTAAATGAAATAATTGGAATGTCTAAAGATTTTAATCATTGACTCCAATGTTGGGTGCAGGGGTAGCTGTCTTTAAAACTCACTGTCCTTTCGTGTACCTATTCTCTTCTATCCTCTGCTTTTTACGACTTTTCTCTTCCTCTGTCAAAATGTATTCTTTCCTCATGCCAATTTCAAAACACTTCCTCAGTCGACATCGCTTACAGAAACGGCGATTGGACACATCCATTTTGCACTTCTCTTCGTATGGACATTTGAAATATTCCTGAAACATATCAAATAATAAGCATAAAAATGTTCCTATCTATTGCTAATTGATCAAAATAGGAATATTTAAAATTTCTGATGGCCTCCTGATTCTCATATCAATCAAATAACTCAAGATACCAGTTCTGTAGACAAAAATTAGGAAGAAAATAAAAATGGACCCAACAGGTTTCAAATTAAATGAAATTTATTTGGCCCTGAAAAAACAGGTTTCTGGGTTATACAGAGTGATCAAAATAGGTTTCTAAGTTACACAGTGAATAAAACTGGTGTCTGGGTTACATTGAGTAACAGGTTTTGGGGTTACATAACAGGACCCTTAAACATTGTTCATATAACAAATGTTTCTTTTCTATCAGCACAATTTTACATTAACATTGAATAACACAATAATTAGATTTTCTGCTTTGTACAGGTTTCCAAATTACACAGGTAATCAGAAAAAGGTTTGTTTGGGTCAGAAGGCTTAAAAAATACTAGTACTATTCAAATAGCAATAACTCTGCTCGAATTTACACTGATATCAAACACAATGTTATCACAAAGGCAAGATTTCTAAAATAACTCTCGTCCCTTTACAATCACCATGATAGTATTTAAATATTTAAAATCTAGAACCTTGATATACCTGGATGAATCTTTTTTGAGTTTCTCAAATCATAGTCATTAAATTCACTGTACGTGGTTTTAAAATTGCAGTCAGGGTTTATTTTCTCGTAAGTATCTATTCATTTTACCAAAGTCTAAATCTATTTTTGTACCATTTTTTAAAAGCACAATCAACTATATTAAATGGTGACATATGAGAAACTCGTGTTTAAAGATAATTAGAAGTTGTAGATTGTTACTTGAGAATAAGAGACCTATCTTTTTAGTGTTTAACAAACCATCACTACAAAATTGTATAGAAAACATGGCCGCTTCGATTTTTCTTTACATCCAAAATATATAATTGGTTCGTCCTCTACTTGAGTGATATTGAAACCAGGTAAGATGTTGATATCTTGTTGACATCTTGCTACAATTTACTCGATAACATTACACTGCGTCATGGATAACGATCACACAATCATTCATGTTACCAAGATCAATATATAACATACACTACTACACACATATTTAAACAGAATAAAAACTTGTGAAATTTATTAATTTTTCTACTACATCGAATTTACCAGAGAATGTACCAACGATGCAAAAAAATGAAACAAACATCAGCCCTATTGAAGTATGTTTTCCATGTAGTATTTTGTATGTAACTTATTACAGGAGACATGTGGTTTTCTATTCATTTTCACTTGCATCAGTACATGAGACCTACAGGCAATCAGCCGAAGGTGATAAGAATCGCTGGGGGAAAGGAAGAGTAAATGATTGATGAGACAGTCCTATTTCACCTGTGAAGAGATATACCTGGCTGGTTATAGCGAGGCTGATACTACATATATATCCATGGCTGACGATTCACATATTACACAATCGTCTCCATTCAAAGTTTACTAAACATCTTCATAAAACCTTTTCCTAAGTTAGACATGCAACATTTCCCCTTTTCCAAGTCAACGTCAAGTAATTTTGCTCCAATACTCAGAACTCTTTAACAAAGAATGAAAATAATTTAGTTGGTGAAGAACAGCTCTAAGGTTGAATTTTTTCCCCACCACTTTTTGTCATTAATGTCTTTTCAAGAGTCCAATAACAAAAGGAATTATTTTCAAGAACTACAAGAGATTCATAGTTTAAGACATAGAACATTGTAATCTACATTTTTTAAAATCTGAAGTGAATTTAAACTTCCTGACAAGTAATATTTTTCTTTTTCACCCAAATGAAGTGACATGCATTATAATTATGTAAAAGTAATGCATTTTCACCATTTTTCTCTCTCTTATTTTCAACTTTCGTCTCCTGCACTCTAACAGTACAAATCTCTTCATCACTGTTTTTATTACAGATTTTATGTATTGAGTTTCACATAAACAGCTTTAATCACAGGCTGAACTAACTGTGCACCACACTATGTGGTTGTCTAATCTTTAGAGGGTGGAAACACTATCTAAAAACCTGTTTGCAACACATACAAATCAAATTCTGATATAAAAAAATACATATTTTTTAACATAAAGTTTAACCATAAATATTACTTAAGTGTGTATAACTTAAACCTAAAAAAAGCCAGACTCCTTTAAAAAAAAAAAAAAAAAAAGAATTACATAGGCTGTGTGGACCAGTACAGCCTGGTTAAGACCTGCTCGTACCTCTGAGAGAGCACCTCAAATTTAACATTTCAGAATCTCTCCTCTATTATCAAGACCTTCCATTTCAATAAATATTATGTAATTTAAAAATTTCTTTTTTTTTTGTAATTTCAAACAGGTTGGTTTACAGTCCTAAGGTTTCAACTGCTTTTTGAATGTACTTGAAGACACTAAATCTTGTAACGTAAAACTTTAAACATGACACTGCCTTGGCCCTGTCTCCATATTTTAGGCCAATAAGAGGTGTCTTTATTCAGAAAGTATTAATGTCAAAACTCTAACGCTAGAAAAGCACATTTTATATATCAAATGATAATTAAACACAGGCATTATAACCTTGTAATAAATCAGAAAACTGAATCCACATATCCATTTTGGGTGGCTTTTAACACAGGATACTTAAGTTGAGGTTTTAAGGTCGTGTACAACAGTACACATGCATACAGACAATCTAATTGATTTGTAATTGAAATTGATCAAATGCTTCTAGATAAGTCCCTTGACAAATTGTATCATATATTTTAATTGATTTTTCTTACTTACATTAACTCATTAATCATTAAATGGATTAATCATGTCATAGGCTGTTTAATGTATTACTGCAGTTTCTCATGTATGTATAAATTTAAAAGACTTATTGCATTTCATAAACCTTTGACCTAAACTGAATATAAACTTTATTTTTATGAGAAAATGTGTAAAATTGTTTTCATTAAAACCTGATTGAAATAGAAAGCTCTACATCTGCAGATGAAGTATGGTTTCCCGGAGTTTATTCTTATCATGCCACATTAGCGGGAGAGATGACAGCATCACGTTAGGTGTACATTGATCTGTCAAGACACTAGTAGGTTGCAACAGGTTGTGCATTGAATGCTGACGGGTGAAAAATATTGACACTAATACAAAATGGCATCAAGGCTAAATGAAATCCACACTTAATATATTCGATATCATTTTCAAATTTGCTTTCAATGCCGAAAAGGTCATGCACAACTTTGGTGGTGTAGATTACATTATAAAACATCCAAGAAGGAGGATAGTGGATCAGGGACACAAAGTCAGGCAGCAAATCTAAAGATTTCTTGACCATACTGTTTTAACCATATCAACTAATTTCTTTTTAATGCACAGCTACAAACTGCTCTTTTTAAATCACATTTCTCTAACAGATCTCCCTCTTTAAAAAATTCTAAATAGACATGGCTCAAATAGGAAAACTGTTCCTACTCCGTTATGTTTCTTTGAAGTCAGACACATTTTAATTCTTCAAAGTGACACATACACACACACACACAAAAATTACATTTGAGAAGTAACATATTGTACATTGGGATACAAAAAGCATACAATTTCTGAGAACTGCTGTATAAAGCCTAACATAAACCATGACCTTATAAGTTATTATCTCTTTAACAGATGTTACATGATATTTGTCACATTTTTTAACAACATAAGAACTACTAACCATCATAAATGTTTTGCTATTATCATAAATTTCTTGTCTGCAGTATGAATTTGAACACCTGTTTAAACATTAAAGGACCCACTGCAGCAGACAGTAATCCATTCTTTTGGAATATTTAAAAGAAAGACATGCAGAAAGAAAGAAGAAAGAAAGACAGGCAGAAAGAAAGAAAGAAAGAGTAATGCTATTTTTGCAGAACTGCATGTTGAACTTCATTTTTCGCAGCATCATATCCACATTATTTATAAGAAACAATTTTTACAGCACTAAAGAAAAAACTACCCTGCATAGTGTCTTAAGGGAAAACAAACTATACTGTCTTGACTGAAATTAAATTCTGCTTTTCTCTAAGAAAATACTTTCAATATAATCCTTCAGGATTTACTATTTAATACAAAATTGGTATGGGTGGCCTTTTGAAAACGTTGTTTTCACAATAATCAGAAATGAAATAATAAACAAATGTTTTAACTGTTGTTATCAGGTGAACCCTCTGGGCTGACTCTGGTGTTTGGTGTCATATCTGATTTCCTGTGTTAGCCTGCACCCAATGACCCCATCAGGTAGATCTGACATTGGACTATAACTAAGGGCTATAGTATGACCTACATAACCGCCTGTTTCCACCAGTGGCCTCGATTAATGCCCCTCTCTTGCACAACCTTTTTTTTTTCAAACATTATCACAGGAAAAAAGATAAACAAAAAACACAGTAAAAAGGCTATTTATAATCTTTTTGGTTTCAAAACGACAAGTCAAAAGAAAAATGGAGTTTCAAAAACTGAAGAAATTACTGAAAGCCAATAAGGTTAATGTTTGTGGATGTGATACTAACAACTCAGGACATATTTGTGGTAGAAAAGCAACATCTAGTGGGTTGGGCTCTCTCTAACCACATATCAACAGATGTGTTGTACAAGTTTATCACGACAAAAGGATATCGACTTCCTGCATCACCGAGGAATGAATTTATATATTCTATCAAAGTATTGTTTTATTTGATACATTTACTGGTGAATATTTCAAACCAAATATACATCTTAAAAAAAAAAGAGAAAAAGTCAATGACCTTCTGTGAATGTATAGGTAGTCGTGGAATATGTAATAATTTTGTGACTTATGACGACTTCGAGGTATTAAAACAAGACCTTATCGATCACTGTGGTCTGCGTGTATAAGGAGATAGATTATGCAATGTGTCGAAGGAACACACGCATATATAAAATATGCCATAAGATGGATCGGGAAAACCGGCACACAGGTAACGGAGAAAAAATGTGAACATAAACTTCTGCGATCTTTTCCTTATAGCTGTCACCCTCTAACTTAAAAATAATTCATCTTATTACCATATAATTTTATAATTTTGTCCACAGCGCTTACCTGTATCTTGTAACAGGTAGTTATCTTATGATGGTAGAGTCAACAGCTTTAAACAGTAGGGTACAAAACTATGACAAACTATAGACAAATTTACATTTCTGTGTAAGACACCTGCATATGAATGATAAATTACCTGTGCAGTGTAATCAATTTTGTTTGTTTTTCTTTTTTGTTGACTGGACGTCAGATATCAAATTCAGAAACAATTATTGTTTGCTTACTTTACTATCTTCGCTAATATGAGTATAAACAATATCATATTGCTGGTAAATACTATACATTTTAACGATGGCTTGAATGATGTTTGATACTTTAATCTTTAAATTATAACTAAACAAACAAATAAAAAACATTTATTTAGATGTTTCACATTTAAAAATTACCAAAATATTTTTCATCAGAGTAATGTTTTTGCAAGAGTCTCCTTAATTTGTATATTCAAAGTAGTGACAATGGGGATGATGTTTCAAGAATTAGAGTAATACAAGAGACTATTACTTCATGAAAGTCAATTTACTGCAACAGATAGAAATTTAGTTCAAGAAACTTACAAAAAAGGAAAAAAATTATCAGGGGTATTTTAAAAAAAAAAAAATTGTTGCCCACGTTTACACACTCTGGAATTCTACAATTTAAAATAAGAGAGAATCATTTTCTCAAAATAAAAGATAAAATCCAACACTTGAACCAAAGAATGGGTTCAAATGAAACCATATTCTTTAATCCTAGGTTTTTAAACTTTGTTAGAATGGTAATCTTGGCAATATTTCAAATCTAGAGGTATAATTTGAAGTCTTGGAACATCACAGCCATGGTTAGTCTTCACCAGGGGCAACACACATATAGGTAGATTTTCTTTGAAGAGTGAAACCTTAGTGACAAATAGCCAGAATTCACCTAGGTAAACTTATCCGAAAATTACTTATGATTACAATGATAGTGGACTTGCCTTCGAACATAAATGCTTTCAGGCTTTAAAGTTATAATCATTTTCCACGGGCAATTTTTCTCCCAACGTCTCCTTGGAAATAATGGTTGTGTTACCTAATTGGAGGGTTCAGGTAGAGGTGGTGGGAGGGGGCAAAAAAGGGTTGGGGGGAGGGAGATGATTCTTTATCAAGACAATGAGAGCACCGTATCTGTATACACTTGGCTAAAATACCTGTGGCCTAAGATTTAGACTATATTAAATTGAGGTCAAATTTCCTGCAGTTGTATACCATCCTTCAGGGACACTATCTGGGCAGGACAATTGCTGGGTTTAAAGTGCTCGGGGTGACTGAGTACAGTACACAGAGATATCCCAATACTTACACTAGGCCTCCTTCAAATCAAGGCCAAAAAAATTTCAATATCAGCCTAACAAAAACTTGATCTTAACATGGAAAACAAGAAAGAATATCCTGTCGAACAAGACTGTATTTATTAGAAATATCAATTGTATAGTGGAAATTTCAATGACAAATCTCTGACCCATTTATTTCTACCATAAAATATTGGCAGAAAAAAAATCAACAAATACGAAAGACATAAAATTAAAAAAAAAAATTGACATCAGAAAAAAAGAAACAAATAAAGAGTTCCAGTGTTTGCATACAGCAATATTTCATGCGTGAATATAAAGTTAAGCTTTAAAAAGAAAGAGATCATGTTTCAAGTTTGGCAAGTGACACTGTAGAGATTTTGGCGATTCCTGACACGGATTTTGTGGTGTGTTTTGCTTCTCTGTTTTCACTTGACGGTGTCAGGTGTTTGGGAGAAAGCCGGAGTTGTACAAAAGGCGTCTATTACCTCAGTCTGTTTCATCAAACCACTGACGAATCAAACGCAAGCTTTGTTTCTAATTGTAACATAGCATGCAATATCTAGACTATCAATCTCACACGACACATGACGTCAGACCTTTATTTGTCATTACTACAGACGCCCTGCCCTATTTAAGACAAAAAAAATCCTCGATCTCCTAAATGACTCGTTTCATTTTCACCACTGTATAAATGTGTTTAAAAAAAACAACAACATGAGAGTGATTAATTGAAAACAAATGATCTATTAGTTGATTAAGAGAGCCTTTAGAGTAACATCTCTAAGGAATAGGGTAGACTTTACATTGGTGACTGCCTGGTTAACCCATGTTCTCAATGGAAGACAGTTCAAAGAGACAATTATGAAACTTCAGTACCATGCTATCAGTGGTAGACTTTACTACATATTTACTGAGAGGGATAAAAAACTTACGTTATCTGTATATCGGCTCTGATTAATGATACGGCCATGGTAGTGTAATATATAGTTTTATATTGCACTGTAAAAAAATATCTTTGATCTGGAAATGTCATAAGAACCTGCATGATCTAGAAGGGGAGAACCATTTTCCCCGACATAGGGCATTTTTTTATAGGTAGGCATTACATTGGGGCAAGCATACATATCTCCATTTATATTTTGCACTTGATAACCCCTTTTCGACATCAAATCAACTCTTTTCAATGATAGAGATATTTTCTTATTCTTTGGTGGTGATGTTAATTTCCACACGCCATCGTAGGGTGTCATTTTCATTATTTGTTAATAACAATTTTTCATTGTTGGGCTAGTGTGTGAAATAATAATTTGAGAGGGGTTATATTTCCGAGATTGATAACAGTAGTTTCACAATGAAATGCTATTTCATATGATCTTTGTCCATTTCACTGGCTTTTGTGTAGAATCCAAACCAATTTGATCAATTTCAAGTTGTAAATCCTGAAGGAACACATCCATAACAGATCAATTTCACAATGTAATTTCATTCGTCAGGTTTCAGTTCTTTCCAAAGTGCTGATCAATAAAAATGCTTGTTAGATGAAATCAATGACAATAAATCAAAACCTGTATATCGTGGTGTCAAAGATAGATGTATATTTTGGATGTTGACATTTACGGTATAACTGTCTTTTATCAGATCATGGTCAGGTGTTACAAAGATATCAGACAAGTTCAAACAATATTCAGATGTCTATTTCAAATGCTAATTTTCAGCATGATTAATTCAAAACATGTTTTGAAAATATTTCAGTTAGCTGTTTGTAAGAGTATCATACTAGAAAGGCCATTCTCATCAGAGTTAATGTTATTCTAAACATCTTTCTAACCAGAGACCTGATATTCACAGTTCTATTGTTAAGTACAGAACTGGTATCAGAAGATTTATATCACCGGACACAATTTGATCCTGTATGTTGACACGTGAAGATGTGATTCATATACCAATGTTTAACAAAACTTTTTTATACTGTCACCATTATACAGTAAAACCTTGTTATACTGCAACCATTACACAGTAAAACCTTTATATACTGTCACCATTGCACAGTAAAACCTTGTTATACTGCAACCATTATACAGTAAAACCCTGTTATACTGCCACTATTATACAGTAAAACTTTGTTATACTGTCACCATTACACAGTAACACATTGTTATACTGTCACCATTATACAGTAACACATTGTTATACTGTCACCATTATACAGTAAAACCTTGTGATACTGTCACCTTTATACAGTAAAAAATTGTTATACTGTCACCATTATACAGTAAAACATTGTTATACTGTCACCATTATACAGTAAAACCTTGTTATACTGTCACCTTTAATCCCCACCTACACCTTGTTATACTGACACAGTTACTGTGAAGTAGACTAATGACACTGCTAACAAATGTTTCAACTTGCTAGTCGCTATTTAATAATTGAAATGGCATTAGCAGTAATACTATATGAGGCAGTGAATGAATTTTTATATCATTAATGACATGTGACTGTCAAGCCATTATTCTCTTTTCTAAATCATCATGTCAGTACCCCTGAATGAAAAGTAAGGTTTTTAACATCTTTTCCAAAATCAGTATGTCCAAATAAGCATGAATTCTTGGTGACTTGTAAACTCATAGAAAGAAAATCAGAATTCAAACACAAATCAATTTTGAGTACATACCAAACCCTTTGGAGCATTTCTTCGGAAGAAGGCTTTACAAGATTCACAAGAAATGGCATCAAAGTTGTAGCCAAGGGCGCGATCGCCACACACTCCACAGTATTTATCCTCTTTGTTCTTCCGTGCCTTGTGGACATCCTCTGCCACCCGGACATCCATCGGCCGGTATGGATTTGACATCGACGGCATACTGTTACTGTTTGAGTCTTCAAAACTGAAAAGACAGAAAGAAAATTTTGTTTTGAATAACTAGACATATAAGTGACTCTTCAAATTATTACAAATAATGAGGTCTCTGAAAAAAAAATAGCAAGTGTCATTCATATGTTGAAGTGCAAACTTTTTAAAATATTCAGCAATATCTTGGATAAAATCTTGGTTTTAGTAATAATCAAACAACTCTCAAGCTTAAAATCAAAGTGAAAATCATTGCTTTTGGTAATGTACAGTACATTACATTGAACTATATGAGTTGGACAGCTTTGATTCAGCTTTATAGAATCCTGAAAAATATACAGAAATGGAAAATAGCTCCTACTAAAATATGAGAATCTAATTATCATTTTAAAAGACAGTTGACATAATTTTTGTGAATAATTGTTAGTTTAATTGATGAAATGTCATTTTTCCCACTAATATCTCATACATACTTCTGATATAAATTATTTTGAAAATATGAATACAAAGTTGATGATTCATTGAATATTTTGAATCATGCTTTAGGAATAATCAGAATTCAAGGTTAGGGACAAAATTGTTATTACATTATAAATGTACCTCTAATTATCAAGTTTTGACAATTTAACCAGTGTATGTAATTGGATGTCACCTTTATGTTAAAATTTTGGAGAGTGAAATCTTAAATGATTAATTTTACAACTTGGTTTAAACTTATCATAATTCATAAAAACGAGGCCTTTTTAGAGTCTATTATACGATCAACGTGAGCTTGATAGCGATTGGCTGATCCAATCTTAAGAGGAAGCTTAAAGTTATAAATAGCTGCTAATTAGAAGACGCCATTAAAGATTCATCAATGTGTCATCACAGAATACTAATTCTTGTGCTATCTAAATTGGATTTTTCAACCAAAAATACTTGAAATCACAAGAGTCTTGTTTTTATATCAAGCAAGTAATTTTATTCTTTATTAATTTCCACATCATTAACATAAAAAAAAAAAATTTACTGAAAAACTCAATCAATCAATGTTACCATATAAATATTTATTACATTTGAAATTCAATTGGAACTAAAGTACAAAATATCACAAAACTAAGAAAATACCTAAAAACCATCCCATTTCTTTACCAAGAAGTCCACACACTTGTTCCATTACAAACTCTTACAATAATCAACAAATACTATTTCATTGTCCTGTAACAAGCCACATGCTCGATTTAGATGAAGACGAAATTTGTCAGCCTCCTTGGATAATTGATAGATAAATATGGTACATTATTTTTTCTTATAAAAAATACGGCCGCAATAGCCTGTGAGTTACAGCATTGTAACCTCAGGTGAAAATCTGAGGTGGAAGGTTTGAGGTTTCCTATCCATGGCAGTTTGAGAAACAGATTGTTCTTTGCTGAAGTGGTTGTGTCCTTGGGCAAGAGAGGTTGTCTGAATTACTATAGATGGCATGCAACAGGCCTTCTGGATGTTGCTCAGTGGGGTAGTCACCATCTACTAGACCCCACTTTAAAATACCCTGTCTGACTGTTCAGAAGGTGATAAAACCAATAACAAATGTATCTTATAAATACTTATCAGAAACAATTGACACACATTAAAATTCCAGTTTCTATACACTTCCTCCGATGTCCACAATCAATTAAAAAGGTTATTATTTTCAATCCTAATTATTCTGTTTATCAAGACAACGTTTGCTATCATTGATTACAGAAACTTATGATAAAAGACTTAACACTTTGATACATAGTAGACAAGCCAGTGTTATTACTCCTTCGGAGTCTGAAGTTATACAAAAGGAGACATGGATAGGGTTGGAACTGGAGGTTAAACACAGATCAATGATCTGGCCTGTTTTGTAATTAGGAGACCTGAAGCCCTCCTATAGGTGTGTAATGGCTAAATCACAGGCAAGCAGATCACACAGATAGAGTTTCCAACACAAGTGTATAAGGTATCCAACATAAACTGGCCACAAACTGGCCTCTATTGACCTCTGATGACCTCTGGCTATCTCCTTACATGAACCCTGGCCTCTGCACTTGGTCACCTCTGGTGGTCTTTAGACTGATGTCTCTACTCTGGCTTGTCATTAAGTGTCTCCTCAATTGTGACACATATTTACCAAGGGCAGGCCTGTGACCATTTTTGCCTTTTAGATGGATGGTATAAATATCAAATAATACAAAAAGAAAAATACATCACAATAATGATAGAGCTTATTATGTTGTGATCAGTGGGAAATATACTGAAGGTCTTTACACATAAATTCTTGTGTATTTGTCACAATAAATTTCAATTATCTATCGACCACATTCATGATATTTCTTCCATCATCAATCAAAATTTTAGAATTCAATACTTCATGGTCACTACCCTGAAAACCCAGTGCTACCTGTGTGACAATTTAATATTGAATCATTTTAATTTCAATTCTAAAATGGATTTTGTGCCACAGCAGTATACATATATACACACACATTGACATTACACATTAATATGTCAACATATCTTTTGAGCTTAAAATTGAAAAAAAAAATACAAAATTTATATTATTGATTTTTTAGTTGATTTTTTTGTTTAAATAACTCATGAGAAATATCTTAAACCATGTTTATGATCATGACATATCAATATTTATGAAAATGTTACTTTAGAAATATCTACAAAGCTATAATGGAACATATCATACATCCATTGTTGGACCTTAATGCTAGCCTCCTGCTTTCCTATTCATATGACACCCTATTTACCATAGAATTATTTACTTTTGCTTTCACAATGGCATCCTAAATCATGAATGAATGTCTCTGTATCTAAGTTATTACAAAACCTGTCACTTCCTTACTCTATGGCCAACATTTTTACATTTACTTCCGTTCTGTTTATAATTCAATGGCATTTTTTTATATCCCAATGAAGAAACATCTTCCATTGACCTTTGTTGACCCTAACATTCTACTGTGCAGCTTTTTAAGTAATTCTTCTAACAAATAAGATCTGTAAATTTGATATTTATGCATATTCAAATTCATTTTCTCAAAAAAAAAAAAACCAAACAAACAAACAAAAAATTTCTAGAAAGATTATTTTTTAGTCCCTGAAAAGACAGTTTCCGTGCTTTCATACCTTTTTGCATTTCTGTAAAATGCAATTTAAACTCTGTTTTTATTGAGATGTTGTTAACTTGTGTGTATTTTGTATATTCTTCCATCTACCTACATATATGAAACGTAGACTGCAGTCTTGATTAAGAATTTCCAAACAAGCCAACCTGAATTTCAGTAAATTCTGTGACAGAAACAATTGTACTGCGGGGTTTTGAATGTGATTTAAACACGACTATTTAGCTGTGTATTGACCTCATCCACCTGTTGTTTTACGGGATCTATCACTAAGCCCACTTTGACCCACTCTATCACCGATCTGCAGCCTCCAGCTGTCTTTAATACCTTATATGCCTGATCAGACAGCCACGGTTCCTAATGCTAGCTAATAAGCCCGGGGTCATTTGCCTGTTACATCACTGCTATTTACTTCAACCAACTTTTGTTTTATATGGCTTTTTGCCAACAGTGTATTTACGTAAAAAAATTACCAGATATTAAAAAAAAAAAAAAAAACCCCAGTTTATATACATAAATACACTCTCTGTTAATAATAAAATGATTAGAGGGGTGTTGTGGGGGAATAAGGGTGGAATGGGGGTGGGGAGAGGATTTCTTGCCACTAATGTTTGTCTCTCAATGTATCCATCAAAACTGGCAATTGTTCAAACTTCCCCAATTTGACTTATAACTACACACCCCTCTGATCAGTGAACCAAGCAGGTCATTTGGTGCAAAGCCTGATTTCAGAGGATATCCCATATGATCTGGGTCTCCATACACTTTCTATCCCACGATCCACCAGTCCTTCAAATTTGAATATCTGGTGATTATGAGCCATCCTGTTCTAATTATGCCAGTCAGCTGGTTCAATGAAGTACTTTTTTTCCCCTTTGTGTGTCATAAGCTTTGTTTATATTCCAGCTGGACATGAAATCTAACAAAATATGTAAATTTTCATATTATTTCACTTTTAGAAATTATGTGTAAAAATCTAAGAAATCTTTCAACTCATAAAAAAAATGCTAGAAATAAAACAATTTCTAAAGGCTGATTTCGTGATATATATGAATGATTTTAATTGTATTTTTTTCAGTGCAATATTTATCTGTAAATCTGTTTCAAAACATAAATAATTGCACACCAAATCACACACAAAAAAAACCTGAATTATTTTGATAAAATATTTTTAGATGTCTTGAAGGGCTAAATGGGTGCCTTTTTCAAAGAAAATCCTTGTCAAATTTAGATCACACAGCTAATTATTAGCTATACAATGAAAACTGAGCCAATAAATGCCTCCTTATTGCAGACAAAGACCAACGACAATTTACAAATTCTTTGTTGTTGTCGTGGGGAGCTGGCAGTCTATAAGAAGTCCATGATTACCCCAGGTGTGGTGAGGGTTTCCGCGGGTCGAGAAAGGCGCAGATAAAAACAGATTAACGTAAGGATACTACATTGCTATACATGTGACCCTCCCTAATTTTCCACCTGATTTCCTTCCCACAATACACTTCTACCTTGAATGACCCTTAGGTTGAACTGTGTTTCGGTGTCTTCTGTCATAGTTTTGTGCTTCTTCTTATAATGTACTATAAAGGATGGGAAACACACCATCTTCAGGAAAGAAATGATAGCTGACACAAAACTCAACAATGACTACAATATGTTTGCTACTAATATACTTTACCTGTGTTTTGCTTAAAAAACAAAAATTTTAAAAATTGGCTAAAACATAATTGACAAATCAATGTTTGCATTTTCATTAAAGTATAATACACAATAGTTAAATAAGAAAAAATATGGTTGATGATTTATAAACAGAAAACAAACAAGCCAGTGAAAGAGGTTGCTGAGGCAAGCTGTTTTTAAGTCCTTGTTTGGGTGATTTTCTCTTGATGGTCACTATTGT